GAAAGAAGGCTACTTTTTTAAGAGTTGCCACCTGTTAGAAATTTTTAATTTAATTAATACGCGGAAATGAGTGAACTGATTTGCATGGAAGTTTTAACACAGATAGCTTATGATCTAGGTTAAAAAATAGGCTACTTTTTGCATGAAATTTTGCAAGCAGATAGCTAATGACCTACAGTGGAAAATAGGCTAATTTTTCGGAAGAGTTGCCACCTGTTAAAAAAGTTTTAATTAAATTAATACGCGGAAACGACTGAACAGATTTGCATGACATTTCGCACAGAGATAGCTTATGACCTATGTTGGAAAATAGGCTACTATTTTAAGAGTTATCACGTATTAGGAAAGTTTAATTAAATTAATACGCGTAAATGACTGAACTGATTTGCATGAAAGTTTGCACACAGATAGCTTATGACCTAGACTGGAAAATAGGCTACTTTTTTAAGAATTGCCACCTGTTTGAAAATGAAATTTTGCTCAAAGATGGTTTATGACCTGGATTGAAAAATAGGCTACTTCCTTAACAGGTTTTCCGATCAAAACGAAATTTAGTACACTTACTACGGATTTCGGAAGGATGGTCTTAGACTGAAAGTAAGTCCGTTAACACAAGGCTCTCCCATACAAATTGGAATTTTCATATTACATACATATCTCTGGAAGTATTTGTGGGGGAGAACTGAAACTTGGTATAGTGATATGTATGTGAGATCAATGTTGGCATTAATCGATTGATGTTTTATTCAGTTGATTAATTGTAATGTGACTAAATAGTTAATCGCAACCGCGATTAAAAAATTAATTTTTATTCATTAACTCTTAATTTGATCAAGTAGGTTTGGTGATTAATTAAGTTATGCTGGAATTTCCCTGTGCACACAAAGCAATTTAATCCCGTATGGCTAAGTCGGGTTTCCTCATCAATCTAAGCAATTTGGTGTGCATTTTCATTAAGATATATACCAACAAACGTTTTACAAACTAGGTTCGTAAAAGTTCCCAGTTTATGTATTACTAATAAACATTAATTATAATGTTTTATATTATGTGCTTTTTATAAGCGTAACACACAAATAATTATTATAACTGGTGTTTGGTTTCAAACTCGGACAAACTAGACAAATTAATCAGATTTTATTTTTAATTGGATAAACGATTAATATTTTAAATTAATTAAACGTAATCGCAGTCAACGATTAACGATAAAAAAATTGTTATCATTAATCGTACAGTTGATTACGACTAATTAATTTTAATCGTCAAACGCGGTTAACATTTTAATCGTTAATCAGATTAACAGTTTGCCAACACTGTGTGAAATCATGTTCATATTCACGAAGAAAAATGGACGTTTTTGGAAAAGAGGCGTAGCACCCCCCATACTGACTGAAAGTTTCATATCGCATATCTCTTCAAATGTTTGGGGTAAAGCACTCAAGCTTGTTATGGAAATACATATGTATGCATGTATGTATGTGAAACTAATGCCATACTCATGGAGAACAAGTAAGAGCAGCGCTGTCTTCGGCTATGCCGAAGGCTTCATACCTTTCATGAACATCTGCAAATTTTAGTTTGACAGATTACTGATTTTGAATACATCTGCATACATCGATAGAGGAGTTACATACTTATATAAAAAATCGCATCTAAACAATCAGAGGAATGGAAGATTTTCACTGCTATGTGATCGGTATGTAAACCGGTAACACAATTTATTGGGTTTAGTTTCCTACATAAAGGAGATATATCGCAAAAACTGGTATCTGAACAATCAGTGCTATAGGAGATAAAGCTTATACAGCATAGATTTTGACGATTTTCTCAGTAGACTTTGTATTATTATTTATAAAATATCTTACGAAATTTATCGGTTTTAGCTGTTCAAATAAAGGAGTTTTACAGTAAAATCCCATATCTGAACAATCAGATGTATGGAAGATATATGTTGTAGTCACCCGATCCTTGTTATTACTGTAAGTATTCTGTTAATAATGAGTGAAAATGGTGCGAAATTTCATGTTCCTAGCTGCATAAATGGAGGAGATATGATAAAAGACCTCATATCTGAACAATCAGTCGTATGGGGGCTGCAGGTTATAGTGACCCGATCTTCGTTATTTTCACTGTAAATCTTTTGCTGATAATGAGTGAAAACAGCGCGAAATTTCATGGTCCTAGCTACATAAATGGATGAATTATAACGAAAAATCTCATATCTGAACAATCAGTTGTATGGGAGCTATAGGTTATAGTTATCTGATCTTTTTAATTTTCACTGTAAGTTTTCTGTTGATAATTATTGAAAACTGTGCGGAATTTCCTGTTCCCAGCTATATAAATGGAATAGTTATAACGAAAAATTTTATATCTGAACAATCAGTTGTATGGGAGCTATAGGTTATAGTGACCCGATCACTGTAAGCATTCTGTTGATAATAGGTGCAAGGGCTGCAAAATTTCATGTTCGTAGCTGCATAAATGGAGAAGTTATAACGAAAAATCCCGATTCTTCCGGTTCCGACAAATGATTAATACATTATAAAAATACACCCACCTACCAAATTTGATCCGGATATCTCGAAAACTGAGACTAGATTGCATACAAACAGACAGACAGACGGACAGACGGACAGACGGACAGACGGACATGGATAAATCAACTCAGCTCGACGTTCTGATCATAAAAGTATACATTTTAATGGGTCTATCTCTTTTTGTTCTGGTACTTACAAACATCGGACCAAAGTTATAATACCATTTCATGCTCATGAAAGGTATAAAAATGAGAGTTATTGGAAAAGGAGGTGGTGTGGCTACTCCCATGCAAATTGATTTTTCTATGCTGCATATCTCTGGAGGTGTTTATTGCAGAGGACTGGAACTTGGCACTGAGGTGTGTATACAAAATTAATTCCATACCCATGGAGAAAAATTTGCGTTATTCGAAAAGGGGACATGGTTCCTCCCGTACAAATTTACTGTTTTATACTGCTTATCTCTAGAGGTGTTCATGGTAGAGTACTGAGACTTGGTACTGGGGCATGTAAAATCAATTCTAAATTCATGGAAGAAGATTAGGGTTATAAGAAAAAGGGGCGTGGCACTTCCAGTACAAATTTACTTTTTCTTGCCTCATATCCCTGGAAGTGTTTGTGGAAGAATACTGGAACTTGGTATGGAGTTGTGTTTACAAAATGTATCAATTGCTCATGGAAAAAATGTGAGTTATTAAAAAAGGAGGCATGTCGCCTCCCATACATACTAAAAACTTCTTAATACATATCTCTGGAAGGATAGAAAATCTCTCGAAGTATTTTAAATTAGTTATGGAGATTTATTTTATAAGTGCCGTACTAACAGAATGAATTTCATTAAATGGAAGAGGGAGAGCCGGGTTCGGCCTTATAATCTAAAGCTCTCTTGAGGCATTTGCTACAGTAATGAGAAGTGGTATTTTATCAAGGCCAGGTTACTAAATTTGAGTTGGAAACATTAGAACCCGCCGTGGCACCCTCCAAGAAGGTTACACGTTCACGCGTCGTATACCTGGAACCATTTTAAGGTAAACTTAGAGGGATTGATATCTTTCGTATGACTAGCGCGCAGACAAGATTTTATAATTTCATAGTTTTAAACGGCCTAAATACCTTAACCCGCTTAAAAAATAACGAGCTATAACGAAATGGTCACAGAAATAAAATATAACATCATTAAATTATTTTTCATATTTGTATAAAAGCGCGGGGTGAAACCCGCGGGCATAAGCTAGTTCTTATATAAAAATTTAAGATTATCGTTACTTTCTTCACGATCCAATTATCGGATCTAAAAAAAAATTACTATGGGACCACCCCTGAGATACCACCTTTCCCGATGAAAACAGAATTATCGAAATCGGTTAACGTGGTCCAAAGTTATGCGGTAACATACATAAAAAAAAAATATTCAGACGAACTGATAACCTCCCCCTTTTTTTGAAGTCGGTTGTAAATAGTTACTTGCAAGGTACATTGAACAGGTAGTATCAGTAGAGCAGCTGATTTGATTTATTTTCAAATTATTTGGTCTCGAAAATGTCAAATATTTTTAATTTTTTCTCACAAAAATTCTGAATTGTTAAAATCCATTTGCATGTGAATAGCAGCTTTTGGAACGTTCGCCCAACTCAGCAGCACAGCCGCTGATTACTGGCCCTTGTAAAGGATGGATCAATGCTTCGAGAAGCAAACAAATTTACTAGGAAAGAAAGTTGCATCAATTTTTATTTTTTCCAATTCCAATTTTTTATTTTTTATAATTTTTTGTATTTCACATGGCACGCTTTGATTTAGAAGAAAAAATTCAGAACAGTTTTTGACACTTTCGATACCAGAAGCAACAACAAAATACACGCAAATGTTGTTTTTGCTCTACTGATACTACCTGTTTAATGTGCCTTGATTACTTGTATGCGGAGAATGCATAGTCATAACAAGAAAATTATAAGAACATACAATAAAATTATTAAATATTCAGGATTTAAACGTATTGAAAAGAAGGAAGTGCAGAAAGTTTGTTTTGGCTTAGAAATTGCAAAAGAAATCTTATTTACTTTTTCTTTCGACCAAAGCGCCATCTATCGTTTTTACATCGGAAGAGGAATTTCATTTGAGGAATTCTTGCGTACATGGCAAAAATCCACTATAATTGCAGCGCTAGAAACAGCTGTTGTGATGTAGCGCTGCCACACCCCTTTAATAACAAAATAATCGAAGACATGTTCTAAAGTCCAGATAACACATGGAAAAGTGAATCTTTTGATAAAAGTTAGTTCTTTTTCTTGTATTTTGCATAGTTTGGTAATTTATTTTATATGAGCTAAATTCGAAAATTGAAATAAAAAGCTGATTGTTTTGCAACCAACTTTAAGTACCTTCATTTCCTTCATTGTCCGGCAACGACAAAATTAATCTAATCGGAATTCTGAGTACGGAACTAATTTTTTTACAGTTTAGTAATAATTTTTAATTTCATTCTAATTTCAATAATTTTCTGCACGCTAAACTATTTTATAAACTAGTAATAGTGAAACCTGTCGCAAAACTGCAATAAGTCTGAAATAAAACGTGTTTGAAGCACAAAACAAAAGCGCACAAAGCAGCGACAATAGTGTAAAAAAAGCAAAAAAAATAAATAAAAATAAAACAAGTAAAAATTTCACAAAAAGTATACCATTTTACATATACACAACTAGATTAAAGCACAAAATCAAGTAGTAGTACATATTTTATAACAATAAATGCTTTCCAACGCTTGGAGAAACGTACAGCAGGGTGTTGTACGCAATCTGACCGCTGCGTATTTTCGAGGTGTGTGCAGTGCCGGACGCCCGCTCGCTTGTGCAAGTGCAAATGCACTTAACATCAAGCGGAATAGCGCGGAATTAATGTCGCTGCGACGTTTTGACATCAAAAGTGATTGTTTATTTAAGACTTTTGATTGCATTGCAGATTAGATAAAATACATATGTAATTATGTGAACCAACAATTTTTGCTAAAATTCTGTATTTTTCCTTTTGCAGTACAAAAGTTACTTAAAGTTGGTATAAACAGAATGCATAGCTCTGTGGAGGATTTAAAATGGGCTTCCATGCATGTAAAGGTATTGCCAGCGCTTCAGGACAATTTCATGTATTTGGTAAGCGGGCAAATATGTATATGAATAAACATTTCACTACCGAAATTAATGCTTCCTTTGTAGATTATCGACAACTCAACCAAGGAGGCTGCCATTGTTGACCCGGTCGATCCGGAAAGTGTTATAGCTGCTGTGCAAGCTGAAAATGTGCATCTTACTAAGGTGCTTACCACGCACCATCACTGGGATCATGCTGGCGGTAATGAGAAATTAGTTAAGATGTATGGCAAGCCGCTGGAAGTGTACGGTGGTGATGATCGCATTGGTGCACTAACGCAAAAAGTGTCTCAAGATGATCGCATACAGATTGGGAACCTTAAAGTGAGTTGCCTTTTTACCCCTTGTCACACCACTGGACACATTTGTTACTTTGTGGAATCGTCAAATACTGATGACCGCGCCGTTTTTACCGGTGATACTCTATTCCAAGGTGGCTGTGGGCGTTTCTTTGAAGGCACACCCGATCAAATGTACTCGGCATTGTGCCAAAAATTGTCTTCCTTACCGGATGATACTAAAGTTTTTTGTGGTCATGAATATACATTGCAGAATATGGCATATGCGCGTCATGTAGAACCATTGAATGATAAAATTTTAAAGCGCATCGAATGGGCAAAGTTACGCCGCGCTACCAAATCACCCACTGTGCCCTCGACCATTGGCGAGGAGAAGTCTTGGAATCCATTCATGCGTGTACACGAGGCCAATGTGCAAAAGCATGCTAATGAACAGGATCCCATTAAGACTATGGGCAGCTTGCGCAGGGAAAAGGACAACTTCAAAGCTTAGGGAAGGGAATGAGGGCGAAGAGAACAAAGAGTGCTGTTGATGATGGTGGTACTGTGGAAATAGGCGCACATTTAATTTTTGTTTTTACATATAGGGTTATGTATATTTTGTTGGTTTGGTTGTTTATATATACATATGTACATAGAAGTCTTTATATTACATCGGGGCATGATAAAAATATAGTAAGGTAGAACCGCTGAGAGGCACTTTTAAAATTCTTGACGTTTCCTAGCAATTCGATTTCAAAATTTACTCACAAACTAGCACATCCACATTTTAATTTTCAATCTCAAGCAACAACAATTTTGAACAATTTAAGTTTTTTATTTTCAATCTTATACGATTTTAAAATGTTGGCAACCAAAGAGCCGCACTGAGTTGTCAATCACACCTTGTTTAATACACCTTGGTTCTATCTTACTATGGTTTTATCATGCTTTGGGGTATAGCAATTATAAGAATCTTATTTACATACGATTTTGGGACTTTTAGTGCTAAATAGCACAGTAAATTAATGAACTTCTTGAAAATTTTCAACAAGTATGAGAGAAGAGATCTTCCTTTCTTCTTAATAACTAACTTAACATTACTGCACACTTCATTTTTATTGCTACTTGGAATTCAAGTTAATGAATTGTGTTAAACAAACTGTGAATTTATGTATTTATGTCAATATGATTCAAGCTGAATTAAAAATTGAAGTAAACCATTTGTGATTTCTGCCTAAACATTGAAAATTATAAATTTTCGTAATAGAAATTACTTAGCTGAATTAAATGTGCTCACTATTTGGGCGTGGCTTAGCCCACAATATATATAATAATGGTTTGTATTATTTTGGGTTATCTATTAAATGCGCTTACCTTAATTTCATGCAAGATAGTGTGGCGAGCGCGTCGTATGTGGGCCGATACTGCAACACCTAAGCCGGCAGCCGCTGCTCCTGATCTGCACAGCAAAATTGTGGACGTACGTTGTGAGGGTATGGTAGTAAAGATAATACCCGCACGCAAGAACAACTACATGTATTTGGTAAAATCGGCGAGGCGTCGTTGCAAATAAATCATACAAATTTTCATTATTTTCCTTTTTGAAGATAACCGACTTGCCTACCGGCTGTACAGCTGCCATCGATCTGTCCGATAACAAAATTCTGTTTGATGTACTCAAACAGGAGAAAATGAAACTTTCCTACGCTTTTATTACCCATCATCACGAGGATCATTCTGGGGGCACAACAGAATTGGCCACCGCGTGCCCGGAAGTGAAAATCTGTGCCGGTGATGAGCGTATTAAGGCCGTAAATCATTGCATTAAGCGTGATGAGAAAATAAAGCTGGGCCAGATGACAATTCACTGCTTGCATACACCTTGCCACACAGTCGGACATTATTGCTATTTTGTGGAGTGCGGTGCGGGTGGTCCGCCCGCACTCTTCACTGGTGACACACTCTTTCAAGGTGGCTGCGGTGGCTTTGATGAGGGCACGCCGGAACAAATGTATGCCATTGTAAAACGTTTCTGTGCACTTCCCAAAGAGTCGCGTGTATTTGGCGGTCATGAGAATACAATTTTGAATTTGCGCTTTGCCGAAACTGTGGAACCCGAAAATTCAAATATTCACTCACGTTTAGTTTGGGCGCAGAAACAACGCGAAAATAAATTGCCTACTCCGCCATCGCTGCTGTGCGAGGAGAGACTCTGGAATCCATTTATGCGTGTCGACCATCCGGATGTGCAGCAATACACCGGCGATACAGATCCGATTTACACCATGTTTTGTTTGCGCAAACAACGGGACACGTTCAAGTAGCGGGCGAATCAAATGAAATAGGAATGATAAACATTTTCGTCTAATAAACAGATTATAATGTTTTGGCTTTTTCTAACAACATTGAGCGATAGACATTGCACAAAATTGTACTTATTCGTTGTACTTTTTGCAAGGAAAATACATAACGTTGAAATTTGCTTATGATCGCCGCTCATAAGATTTTTTATTTTATTTATTGTTATATTTGTGGCGCCCTGTTTTATTAAAACAGCTGGTGGCTGCAGGAACAGGAAGTTGCGTAACAAGTTGACTTTTGAAGTGTTAAGTGAAAAGCGCGTTATTAAGTTGCTATTGCCTAAGTTTTTACTGGTTTATTGTTTCTAATTTCATATCCTTCAAGTTTTGTAAATATCTGTGCATTGTTGGGTTATTAGTAAGCATTGACCAAAAGTGTTGGCAACTACGTAATGCTGAGGGTAAAACCATCATGGCAGTGGATGAAATTTAATCCTTGGATAATATTTGCGGACATTTACATATTGGTTGGTTTATTAGAGCTCGAAATACTGTTATTTATGTGTGGCTGCGGCCCGTAGACGAAAAATGGCAGTTAGTTTCGTGAACCATGCACCAAAACTTGTGTATTTCATAAAATTGTGAAGAACAACTGTAACTATGTAATTTATCAGCCCTATCATTAGTGCATGAATGCTCCGGGGCTTCCCAGCAATCAGGCTCTCATCGCTTCTTTTAAATACCCTTGAAAAATTGATTGATCTACACATCATAAACAGGTTCCAGGGTTGCGTTTGAAATCAAATTAGCCTGCCTCCTGCAAGTTCAGATCGGTGGAGTTGACTCAACACTCGGCCAAAGATATGGTTGAGCAGTTTTTGTGTAACATGCGTTTTCATAATATTCCACTGTAAAAAATGATGAGTGAGATATCCATATTAAATACGAAAATATTTCAATTTCCCTGAATATCGTGAAATATCATTGCCAGAATATATAATGAATGGATGCTTTTGAAAAATATAAGTCATGGAAAAAGTGTGTCAAATTTCACTTGAGTTTGAAACCTCAGTTGTGTGGTAAGCTTGAAGTATCACGTTATTTGGGTAGGCCTTCATCTTGAAGCGTTAAATTTTGACTCAGTGGAAAAATCTTGGAAATACATTCAGCACCATTTGTGAACTAATCAATTAGTACATTCCTCGCAGTTCATCCGCAAAGTTTCCCCAGATATGGGAAAATTTACAGCTGATTGAAAAACACTGTAGATTGTCATTTTGTGATTTATTTTGTACTTTGGATCTTATTATTGAGAAACAATTCCGTGAACAAAAGATGCTGCAATCTGCGAAGGTAAGTTTCTATTTCATATTCATGAATTTGTGATAGTTTTTCGTATAAACAAAATTTTTCGAATATTCGTTGATATCTCATTGTGTGCCCTTTGGCAATCGACTAAAATAATACTAAATTGCAATTGATTGATACTTCCCATTTATGTTAAAAAGGAAGTTAAACATTTTTTTTAAAGAGATTAAGTCATAAGTAAAAAAGTGATTTCTCAGTTTTTCAAAGTTAGCGTCCGAAATCGAGATATGGGCTTTCGAAGTTCGAAATAGGACCTTTGGTAAAAAATTATTTTTGGGAAAATTTTAGTTTGGCATCCCCCGCGTACAGAAAAAAGGTGCCTATGGGGGGTAGGGGGAGTTCTCCTGATTGCAAATATATATACTTTTAGCCGCAGGAGGCTTATAGTTTTTAAGTTATTTGTTGTTAAAGTTTGTAAATTGAACTAACCTCTCGGCGCTATTTCACACAATAAACACTATATTTATGTAGACACCTTGGCAAAATAATTGCATTAAAACCCCGCACATTGAAATGTAAACATACTTTTTACATTTATGATGTATTTTTAGTAAATTAAGTAAGTTTTAATAATTATCACGCACTTATATATGTATACGCACCACGATCCAAAAAATAAAGGTCGCGGCATTCGCGGACCGCTAACCCTCTCCTCGTTGATTTGACAGCATCCACCCAATCGCTGACGTCATAAAATACTTTTGTTTACATTCACTGTTGCCAACTTGATGCTTTTCGCACCAAATTTAGTGGGTATTCAAAACGCGAAAATTTTTGAGTTTTGTGCTTGGTGCGATTTTGGTGCTTTTGTTTTTAGTTTGAAGACACCAAATCAGAAAATCTTAAAAAGCAATTTTACAAAAATTTAAACAAAATCATGGCACAGTGACAATCATAAGCGACAAAGAAATATGTGGCAGCACCTTCAATCATGCCAGAAGAAATCGACCGTCGTGCAAGAAACATTGATTTTTGAATCGGCATAACATATTCATATAAAGTCAATAAAATACACCAATAAAAATTTGATGCTTTTTCCACGTCAAAACTTGGCAACACTGCCTTTTGGTCGATGCTTCCTCTTTTTCTTGTCGAGTTCCTCTTGCTCTCTCATTCTGGTATTTTTTGACGTCACGGCCAGTTGCTCTCAGCTCGATTGGCGCAATCTTGTATTCTATCATTCTTGTATACGCACATTGTGAATACAGAACCGTTGATTCAACCATGGTTTCACACTGACATTAGAAGAGTGCAGCCACATCTAAGAAAATAACAATAAAAGAGAATAGTTTTTATCGTACCCATTTTCCTGCTCAGCGTTGAATTAGTAGTAAAGGAGGGTATGGGGTTAAATACCCCCAATAAAAAAAAAAAACTGACAAGCGCCGCAGGCGAAAATTTTTAATAAAAAATCGCGCGATTTTTTACTAAAAATTTTCATTATTTATCAAGTGTTGATTTTTATGGAAAAAGCGCCGCAGGCGAAAATTTGTAATAAAAAATCGCGCGATTTTTTATTAAAAATTTTCATTTTTTATGGAAGCATCTGTAATATAAGTTTGCACAAAAAAAGTCATATCCCGTTTAAATAAGAGCAAAAGGCGTACCACGACTATGTTTTTACTTTTTTTTTAGTTGTTTACATACAGTAATTACAAATAATTTTTTATCAATCGTCCAATTTCGAAATTCGAAGGCCCAGCTCGATTTTGGAGGCTAACTTTGAAAAACGGAAAAGTTACTTTTTTAATTGTGACTCAATCCCTTAAAAAAATGGGCTTGGTCCAATATCCAGCCGAGTGCTGTATAGTGTAATTTTTAGGAAAACTTAAAGAAAATACTGATAGTTTTTTTTCTTGCTTCGTTCTGTTTCATGAGTTTTTGGTAATCTTTGCTTGGCCCCTTATCCCTATATTGAAAATAAAGCTGTGCAATTAACTCGTTGTGCGTGTGCCGAGAGAATTGAAAAATTATCTTTTTATCATTAAGGAAAAAATACCCATTTTGGAACGAGTACCAGTTTTAAAACAATATTATAAATTTTTGTAGAAAAAAAAGAATTAAGCCGCCCGGTGAACACACGTGATTGCGATTTTCCTGCAACAGCGTGAGCACTTACAAAATTGCGCAATTATTGACCGTATCTGCGTACGGATAATTGCGAAATGATTTCGTTATTTTTCAGAAAGATTATATTTGTATCATATAATTATAACACACTGGTGAAGAATGCCTATCAGTTCTTCGAATTCACTGAACTTTCAAAATTTTCAACTTACCTACTTTTTGTTGTATTTTCGAATTTGTACTACTTTACATAGTTGAAAGTCACAGAAAGTTTGAATATTTTTGCAGGTTTAGAAAATAACAAAAATTCCAAAATTTTGAATTTTATGAAGTTAATAAATATCTTGAGATTTCTTACTTTTAGGATAATTTCCAAAATTTTAAAAACTATCGTAATCTGGGAGATTTAAGAAATTTTCGTAAAATGAGAATATTTTGAAATGTACAAAATTATTGAGATTTTAGAAATTTTTATATTTTCCAAAATTTTTTCTTAAATCCATCCTAAAATGTAAAGATGGGAAACATCACAAATTGTCAAAAAATTCTTATGTTCATGGTACTTGTGTATGAAAATTCTTAGAATTCTAAAATATATTAACAATTTGGAAAAATTCAAAGAATTTTCGAATTTTTACCCGACTTCCAAAAAAGGAGGGGGTTATCAGTTCGTCGGAATATTTTTTTTTATGTATGTTACCGCATAACTTTGGACCACGTCAACCGATTTCGGTTTCTTTCTGCAACGGAAAGGTAGTGTCTCAGAGATGGTCCCATACTAATTTGGTTTATATCCGATCATTGAATCATGAAATATATAGATATATATATTTTTTTTTTAAAGTCGTTTTTTTTTGCTAAAAATTACTTGTCTGTTACTATTTTACTATGTTATTCACGATATATGTTGAAAAAATATTTTCGTCAGCCGATATAATACGGAATTTTAACAGCTTTAATCCCGACCTTATTAAACCACTTTGCACCAATATTGGAAGCGTCATCTGCGAAAAACTCTCCATCAACCTCAAATTTAGGCTGCACTCGGGTAAAGCTTGTGTTATGGCTCCATTGCACACATCCGGTCTGCCGCTGGAAAGATGGATGTCTAGTCAGCGCAGCAAGCTCTGAGACAAATCCAGCCAATTATGACGGAGTCAATGTTCCACCGCCGGACTATGGCGAGGTACGAATAGCAATTATCGGCTGAAAAACAACAGAGCTGTAAGAATTGACGGCCTGCCAGCCGAGCTATTCAAGTACGGCGGCAAGGAGTTGATAAGGTGCATGCATCAACTCTCGTGCAAAGTGTGGTCAGATGAACGCATGCACGACGACTGGCTTTGAGTGTTCTCTGCCCGATCTCAAGAACAGCGACCCCGCCATTCGCGCCAACTACCGTGGTATACGACTTCTAAACATAGGTTACAAGGCCTTATATAGCGTATTGTGCGAAAGACTGAATCGTACCATCAACGAGATGTTTGGGCCTTTTTAGTGCGGTTTAGACCTGGCAAAGCCGCCATAGACCAGGTATTCACAATCACTCAAAAGTGAAATCCTGAAAAAGACTCGCGAGAATAGGACCGACACTCACCATCTATTTGTCGACTTCAAAGCCGCTTTCGACAGCACTAAAAGGAGTTGTGTGAATTTGGTATCCTCGCGAAACTGATACAACTGTGTAAAATGACGTTAAGCAATACAACCTGCTCCGCGA